GGGGCTTTTTGTCACATTAAAACCTCAACTGATGATGTGAGTTTGTCAAATTGGATCATTCAACCTCCTCAATCTTCTGGACGTTAGGGCTTTGTGGGAATTTGGCTATTATGATGTCGGCATATCGGTGCTCATGGAATATGATTTGGCTGCTCAACCTCCTTTCTAGCCGAGCCTTAATTTGATAGAGGACATTGTTTAGGGTAGTGACAAGCTTCTATAAGCAGCCTAGTGTCGTATCCCCATTACACCCTTTGACTATTTAGCTAAGTAAACAGTTGAACCCAGTGGGTGTTTATGCTCTCGATTATGGTAAAATGTGCACACTCTCAATATGAGTGGATTGCACAAATTATGGCACCAGTAGGGTACTTGTAACCACTCGGCACCAGTGGGGTGCATATAATGGCTTAATATGGAAATCTCATGGCTTAACATGAAAATTTGAAATTTAGTTTTAAGGTTCCCATTTTGGAGAAGAAAAGTTGATCATAAAGTTGTGATAGATATATTGTTCATTTCGAAGAAGAAAAAAAAATCATTGTTGCAAAGTTACAATTCAAGTTTGGTAATAGTCACACAATATTCCAAATATGTGGAAATGCAGATAATCCATTATCCTTCATGATGATAGCAAATGCCGGTACATTTCTTCAATATGGTAAAGCGTATTGCATTTATTTGATTATGTGGGTCTCCATCACCATCGAATCACGCTCTGTCTCATAGAATGCCTACTAATCTCCGTGATTGGGCAGTGGGTTATTGATGTTTGAACGAATAACTTCTTCGAAATTTCTCATAGATTCCTTGTGATCTGGTACCGTTGACTTCTTTTGCTGTCATCGAATTTCTTCTAGAATGAGCACAACCTTGGATCTGGTACATAGGATTTGACTTTATCCTCGTGGATGAACAATTTTAGAGAATTCTTGATTTATTATGGTTAAATCCGCCATGTTGATAAATGAGATGAATATATGATAATCATGCGAAATGGTGTGAATATGCATATACAAGTTTTTTTTTTTGTTTGTGTGGATGCATGAATGCTGGTAAAATTACCTTCTTGATTGATTGTAGAGTGAACGAATGGAGAATGAACGGAAAAAATTGCTAATGTCATGATTTTTGTAAACTTTTGCATAACATCTAACCACATCATTCATGCATAATCGATGAAGCATAATTCATTATATCATAAACAAACATGAATCATAAACACATCATCCTATTTAGGCCAACTTAGGGTTTTATGAGGTTTAACAATGACGTTTAAGATAGGCCTCAGGATAAGTTTTGAATAGTTTAAGGTGGCTTCTAGACTGACTATATGCTGGGTAATGAGTTCTAGGGATTTATTCCCAAGTTGTACCCTACTATTGCTCTTTCAAGCTTAGTCGGATACCTCAAATCAACCTCGGATTTGAGTTCAACTTGGTTAGAAAGTTTCGCGTGCCAACCTACTATTGTAGGCCTCACGGTACTCCTTTCGTGTTTTCTAAAGGTAGAGCTCGGGCATAGAGCTTTTATGTATGATGCAAATAATTTAATAAGCAATACGGTAGTTGCACAAATAAGATAATAAACACCCAAGATACTGACGAAAATAAGAAAAACTTATCGATTTAAATGTTGTAGCCCGACTCTCGAATTGTCCCCAGCGGAGTCGCCACTGTCGCAACCGCCCCTCGAGATCGGGGTATCGCTCGCGAATCGATTTGGAGTCGCCATCGACCCAGCTTTGGGATGGGTCGAACACCCTTTTCCGGTTTTAATTTTTGTTAAAACCAGAATTTTGGTCTACGAATTTTAGATTTTGGGTTTGGGAGTACGGTTACGTGTGGGGAAGTGTATTCACACCCCACAACGCCCCAAATGGGTACTACTTAAATCGATAAGTTTTAAAAGGGTTGGGTGTGTTATTGTTTGTGCATTATTGTGTATTTAATTATATGATTTGATTTAATTTGATATTTATTAATATACGATTCGATCATTACGACTATTGACGTAAATCTCGAAAGGTAAAGAAAGAGTTTTATAATTAGTTGGACTCGAACCTATTGGTTGCCTACGTACCCGACTTAGTCGGGATCAAAGTCCACGTAGTTCGTTGTAATTTTGAGTGGGTTTGAAAGAGGAAACCTAACACGTTTTATTGATCGTGTTTAAGGTTTGTTATTGAGTTATTTTGAGAAAATAATTTTTGTATTTTTGATTTGGTAATCGAATGAATAACGATTTTTAATGAATTATGTCATATAGCTATTATGAGCTACTAACCATGATTTGTGTATTAGTGGTTAAATTATAAAATGGCGAGGTGCATAACTAATGTTGACTTAAGTGGGCAAACACAGTGAGTGTGCTCGTTTTAGGTAAGAGGGGTTACCACAAAGGAAAATTTAACCTAATTGCTCTCTAATCTGGCCGCCTAATTGACTCCACCCTCTCTCTCGTTCTATTCGCCACATAAGCGATCAGGGGAGAGCAAATACCTCGTCTTCTTCTTTCTTCGTCCACCTTCGATTATTCCTCTTCAAATCGTCCTCCCTTCTTCACTTCCTCTGGAAATCGAGCAAAGCAGAACCAATCCGTTCCAATTTCCCTCTTCCTGTCCTTTCTCGATTTGCGTTCCCCTCTCTTTCTTTCTGCAAATGACGAGAACAAAAAAAAAGGGAAAAAGAAGACAACGACGATGATGGCGGCACTTGACCCCGACGATGATGACGACGGGGGACACTAATCACAGGTTAGTCTTTTTTGGTTGCATGTTCGGTTTTTTGGGTTTTATAGGGTTCTGATGGTGTTTTTGTGCTTTGGGGTAGAAATCAAGTAAATGGAGAGGGTCGCCGGCAAAGAAATCCGACGGCGGCGTCGGCGAGGAGCCTTTCCTCCGATGATGGATTTTGGTGGGTTTTAGTGAAATCTCTCGTTTTTATCTCTCGTGTTATTTTTAAATTCCCATCCCTAACTTCTTTTGCTTATTTTGGCAGGTTTGAACATGAAGAAACGGAATCGATTTGGCGATATCCTTCCTCCCTTTTTAAGCCTTTAAGCTAGATTTAGGTTTTTCATTTAATGGATTTAGTAATTTGGAATTGTTAAGAGTAGTTAACATATACTTGGATGGTTGTTTTTGAGAGATTCAAAATCTGGGTTTTTGATGTTCTTCGTGGTTCTTGATGATTATGATGAACTGAACTTGTGTGTTTAAGCTAAAGATTAGCTTGAATCTAGATTTTAGCATGTATTTTGATATTCTATGCAAACTTTGAACTATATGGATTGGTTTGTTCATTTGGCGTGTGACATGGAACGATCTGATTTCGGAAGTAAGGTGATGTGTATGATATTTAATCTTGGATTGGGTTTGTTTGTTCGGGGCTGGAAGTTTGTTTTTGGTGATTGTGTATGGCTTACTTCGAATGTGTGTTAAGATTAGAGGGACAGCCCTTAAAATAGAGAAGAGCATTTTAAAGTACCTTAAAACAAACTGAACATTGAGTCAAGTGGTATTTGCTTGGAATAAATTGGTATCTATCTTTTTTAGAATCAGATGATTATGAAAGGTAGAAGTAGAGTGTAAATAAATGGTAGTTTGATGATGAAATTACCAACCCTTTTTGCCGTGGTTTGTGGATGTTTCCTTGCTGTCTTCTCTTGTTTGAAACTTGGGGGCCACTGCTGCTTCTCCTCCTTTGCAGCTTCTGTGAGGTTTGCTGTTACCTCCTCTGTTTGCTCCTCTTTTTGGTTCTTGACTTGTGTGGATAATAAGAAGAGAGTAAGAGTATAAGAGTGTCCTTTCTCTGTTTCTGTGTGTTTCTTTCTTCTTTTGATTTTGTTGTTGTTGTGATCGGTCTGTGATTAAGAAGAAGAAACGGGAAAGTTGTCTTTTTGCTGAGCTTTGTTTCTTGTTTGGTTGTGGGTTTAAAGAAGAAGAAAGAGGTAGAGGAGAGCTTTTTATTGTATGCAGTTGTCTGTGTATTCAGAGGAGGGAAGGAAGCTTTTATTTGCAGAGCTTTATTGTCTCTCTTAACATGAGAAGAAGAAGGAAGAAGAATGAGTCGGTGTTCGAGGGAGTGGAGGCGTGATTATTCTTTTGGTGTGTGTGTTTGAGGAAGTGGAGCTGTGGGTAAGGAGAAGAAGAATTCTGTTGTCTTTTTTTGTCTTTTTGTAAGAAGAAGAGGAAGAGAAGAAGAAACTTATATCTAGGAGGAGAAGGCAGGAAAGAAGTCCCTGGCAAAAGGGAAAGGAAGAAGTCTCCTCCTCTTAGGTAAGAGCCAAAAGGCTATTTTTATAGCGAATTGCTGCTTGGACAGCAAGTATTTCAACAGTGTATTTGTGTTTTTTTTGGGGTTGAACCGGTCTGGTTATGTCAGAGCTGACCGGGTTGACTGGTTTTTACTCATGTTGACTGACTTGACCAAGTTGACTTTTGACTTTAGTTGACTTTGGACTTGGGCTTTGACTTGAGCTCTTTAGCTTATTATTGATTGTAAGAACTATTTTAATTAGTTGTGATATGTCATTTATTTAGTAATTGTACTTGTAATTTTTAGTTTGTATTTCTAATCGTAATGTAATTATTATCATCAATTGGTAATCATAATGTAATTGTTAATAAAAAAAAGGTCCGTATTGATTTCTTTTGCACCAAAATCCAAAGCCCAAATCTCGCAAAGTCCAATTCAACTAGTCAATTCACGCGATGAATAAATTGAGCGAATGCTTAATTCGTATAATCAAAACAAAACAAGTCAACTCAATTGAGTTGAAACAAGTCGACTCTCCAGATCAAATTGTAGCGATCGTGATTTGCTATTGCTTAATCTCCATTGAGTTGAGACAAATATAACCAATCACAATAAATATGTTTTAGCCGAGAGTTCATTTAAGATTTGCTATTGTAAATTTTAACAAAAATTTAGTTAAATATGTTTTGACCCGGACAAAAATTGGTGTCTACAATATTGAAGCGGTTAGTACTTAGTAGCACTGCTATTTTGCTGGAGATGCAGGCTTAATTGGATTAAGCTACATACCATTTTTCGTAATAATCATAACACAGAAACTATTATCAACAGTTTTCAACATCCAAACGATAATTGTAGTAATCTGAATATCTATAGCACTATCCTAAAGAGCTTTGGATTCAAGAACGAACATCTAACTTCTAACCTTCAACTATGTATAGCCAGCGAACACAGAACACTGGAAAATTAAGTAGCTTACTGCAGGGCTTCTCCAGTCCAGTTGTGCTGCCATTCCCCTCAAAATATACTGCAAGTGTTAAAACCATAACAGCCTCCGACAATGTTCCTCCACTTCATCAGTTTTGTGTTCACCCTCATAAGGACATGACAAGCATCTAATTTGCTCTACATCGTTGTTGACGGAAAGGTTTCATCAAAGCCTCGACCACCCACAGAACTAGAAGCAAAAGTAAACCAATAAGAAAACGGAACTTAAACTAAGTCAGAACCAGACTTCCCTAAAATGTCTCCATGAGCATTTCCTTTTCAAAATGATGTATATAGAAAGATGACTGGTGGTGACTGATAACTAAACCTACAAAAACGTCAAGCTTCTTGTTTCCCTGCGTATATGATCTCTGCTACTTGAGAAACACGCTTGTACTGCATCACCTCCTCCATGCATTCAGCGGCATTTCTGTCTTCCAATTTGTCATTGGTGGCAATGTGAACCTTCTCCAGGAGCGGGGCCGTGGCTAATATGAACCTCACGAGATTCAGCTCAGCCTGTATCCCATGCATTTTCTCGATTCTGAGCACTTTAAGGTGCTGTAAACAACAACCGGTATTGTTGCGGTCTTCTGCTTCCAACAATGTTCCTATGTTTGGTACTGCTGCATTACTGTTTGTCGGCTGATCCAGTTGCTTAGTATCCAGCTACAAGAACGAACGTCAAGGAACCAAGTAAGCACATGCTCCAAAAACTTATATAGCCCAGATATAGATACTTACTACTATGTACTTCCAATTGAACTTTTCAGTAGAAAGGGAGGCAAACAAACCTTAATTGTGAGCGCATGCAAGTTGGGGGAACTCATGATCAGACGAGCAACAGGGCGCGCCTTCTTCAAGCAACCCATGTCAAGATGATCGATGGTTAAGAATTTTAACCGTTCGAGAGGATTAGGAAGCCTGATGGGGGCATTATGATCACCTGCAACAATGTACTGATGAAGAGGCAAAATCCAAATGAGTATCATAAAGAAACCAAACAAGATTGGCAAAAAAAGGTTGCAAGTGGAAAACTAAGACAAACTTACTTGTAGGAATTGGAAGCCAACATATAACCGCTCAAGCGCTGGGAGGGAAGCAGAGAAGTCTACTGTATCTACAACCTCGCTGAGCTTTCCGTACCATCGAAGACGAACTGTCGATAACCGAGGAGTGCATTTGAAGCAGAATTTCTGTAACTTGTAGCAGAGGAAGTCGAACTCTTCAAGACAAGGCGCCACGATTTCAAGATTACCAACACCTTCACAATATACAGCGCTCAACTTTTTAAGCACTGGGCAGTACTTGGAAAGGAAATTCCCAAAGAAATCCGCGGGGAGGATGACGTGCCCCAGTTCAAGAACCCTGAGCTTATTAAAACCCAGAAACCATGGTGGCTGTCTAATAAATTCACAGAACCAAAGCCTCATGTAGTTCAGGTGAACGCAAGCAAACAGAGTAGAATGCACCTTGTAAATACGACGACGATTATAGTAGTCAATGCAGAGTTCCTGGAGACCTCTATTGGAAAGATGAATAAGAATCTGATCCATCTCATGGGGCTTTGAACCAGGAACTGAAAGCTCGAGCCTCCTTATCGGTCCATCGCGAACAAGCAGGATTTTGTGAATGATAGACATCAACTTATTCATCATCCCATTCGATTCCCATCCACCGTGTTCGTTAGCAAACCAAAGATCAAACACAAGTTGAGGAGTGCACCTCCAATGGTGCCTCCACTTCGTTGAAAGTATACTAGTTTTGGCAGCATCTTTGATGGGTAAGAACACCAGAATCCGATGTATCACATCCGCAGGAAGGGTGGTAATCCTATCGGCAGTGAGTTCGCACATCCTCTTCCGTCCCTAAACATATATATTCACACAAAATTCCAATCAATGCATCCCAAATTAATTACAGATGTGGCTTCTTTACCAAAGAACAATGCACCGAAAGACGACAGTTCCTACTAAAGGAATTGGTGCATACCTTTTCTTTTTTCAGGAAGTTTTGTCTTCTGCAAGACCCTTAATCACTTTCTGTTTCTTCGGGCTAGGGCATGTGACCGCGACCGCCACCGCTGCCGCCAGCCCGCCACCGCCAGCAGAGAAGTAAGGTGCCTGCGCGACAGAGAAGAGAAGTGATGATGAATTATTAACTGCTTTTCTTGGGCTCTCTTAGCGGGCCAAACTCGGCAAATGTGGGTGGGCCGCCTGACAAACTTCAAAATCTGATCTCAATGCGCTAGAGGTGGGTCGTCCTTCCTTTCAAAGCCCGTTCTTCCACGTGGGACGCCGGTTGACCCAGGACTGTAGAATGTACTTCGGATGAGTAGCTTAACTATGAAGCTCACAGTCACAAGATCAAGCTCAGCCTGAGTATGCTCAACTATGAACTCCCTAGATGCTGAAGCCAATCAGAAAAATCCACTGGAGAAGGTAACAGGAGTTGCTGGTATATCTTGGACCTGGTTTTGATAATTCAGATAATCTGACAGCTGAAAAAGGAATGTTTAACTCTCGCAGATGGTGCTTAAATAGCAAAGCAATTCCCTGCATATAGCTGGACTATTACACTATGTTCGAAGCAGGGCTGTCTGATCGCGCCTCCTCGGAGTGCAAGATTGAGCTAGCAGTGACTAGACTTCGAGGAAGCAGCAGAGGTGCAAGCACGAAACCAAGACTTCGATCGGTCGTTTGTTACAGTTTGTATCTTTACTACTACTGGTTTCTTTGCCACAGTAGTCTATGGTTTTCTTTGGTGTGTTCTTCCTAGAGATGTTTAGTTCTTGTATAATTTCCTATTTAAAAAATAATGCTATATCACCATTATAAAAACAATAGGTGATGCTCCTGCTTCCAACAACCATCCATATATTGCTAACTTCTTGTGTGAGTGCTGATCAACTACAAGCTAGGGCATTTTTGAACGAATCAAAGGCAGTCTACATAATTAAAAATTAATCCATCGTAAATCCTGCTAACAGAAATTCAGTCTGCCTGCAACACAGCAAACCTCGATCTTACAAGAAGATGGACTTTTGCCGGACCATATACCATAACCAAGACAAGGCGCAATCTTTGCAGGTTCCAGAGAACATTCATTTCCTTCACGAGACAAAGTTGATGTATAGAAGATGATGCTGGAATAACCAGTAAACAATTGTTAATGCTACAAAGATATTAAAGTTCATAACTCCCACCCTATAAGGCCTCAGCTTTTTTCTAGGTCCTGATGGGTAATGATATGACCTTTGCCTTTTCAGAAACAGGTTTATATTTCCTAACCTTCTTCATGAATTTGGAAGCCTTCCTGGAGTCCAAATTGGCAGCAGGTGCAATGTAAATCATTCGTAGTATCGGGGCAGTGGCTAGTATGAATCTCAAAAGGTCCAGCTCAACCTGCATCCCAAGGCTGCCCACAATCTTAAACATTGTAAGATGCTGCAAACAGCAACCGAATCCATGGCGGTTCTCTGCTTCCAATAAGCTTCCTATGCTTGCTACCACGTTGTTACTCACGGGCTGATTTAGTTGCTTAGGATCCAGCTACAAGAGCATTGGTCAAGGAACCAAGTGAGGACATATATCAGATTTTATAAAACCCCATACAGACACTACTATATACTATTCAGTAGCAGGCAACATGATAAACCAACCTCGATTATGACCTCGTACAAATTGGGGGAACTCATGATGAGACAAAGAAAAGCACGAGCATTCTTCAAGCTACCCAAGTCGGGAATAATGATGTAGAGGGCTTTTAACTGGTGAAGAGGAGTAGGAAGCCTGATGGGAAGATTAGCATCACCTGCAACAAGGTACTAAAAAGAGAAACCATCGAAGTGAGTAGCAGGAACCTGTCATTTTGCAAAATGGAGGAAAAAAAGGGAGAAACTATCGAACTTACTTCTAAAAGTTGGATGTCAACAACACACAGTTGGAGTAATGGGAGAGAGGCAAATAAAGCCACCATATCTGCAGGCTTCTCCACTTCTTGGCGCCCATTCAAAAGCTGAACTTCGCTCAGAAGTGGAGTACACTTGAAGTAGAGCTTCCGTGAGTCCCCAAAGAAGAAGAAATGGGTGAGACGTGGAGCAACAATTTCAAGGTTACTTGGACACGGACAAAAAAGAAGCTCCAACAATTTAAGACTTGGGCACTTAGGAAGGAAGTTGCTAAGGAAATCAGAGGGTAGGGTTACTTCTATCAAACGAAGAGCTGTAAGCTTACTAAACCCCACAAACCATGATGGCTGCCTAATAAATTCACAAAACCAAAGAACCAGAGAGTTCAAGTGAAGATATGAAAACAGGGAAGAATGCAACTTGTAAACATGATTAGGAGAAAAGCCAAGGGCGAATTCTTGGAGACCTCTGTTAGAAAGATGAAGAATCATTTGATCCACCCCATTACAGGGCTTCAGTCCATGAACCCAAAGCTGGAACTTTGTTATGGGACCATCATGAGCAAGCAGGATTTTGTGAATGTTGGAAATCAACTTGGCCATCATCTTATTCGATTTCAATCTGCCATTTGCACCGCCATAAAACACAAGTTGAGGAATACTTCTCCAGTAGCGCCTCCACTTTGTTGATAATGTGGCCGTCTTGCCTGCATGTTTGATGGGTAACAACACCAGAATCTGCTGTATCACATCCTCGGGAAGGTCAGTGATTCTATCGGTACCCAGTTCGCACAGCGCGTTCATCTCTTCGCAGCCTGTATATATGCATTATGCAACACCAGAAAGAAAAGAAAAAAAAAAACAGTCGACACCTAACCAATCGTTCATACCATTACACTGAATCATTGATCGAGAATAGATAGTTCGATTCTTAGTTCTGCAACCAGCTATCAACGAGTATGTATTGCACAGATTAATTATTACCTTTTTCACAGGGTGTGTAATGGTTAGGATCAGAGGGATGTTCACTGCAAGACCCGTAAGGCTGAAACCGCCAATGCCCACAACTTTTCTTGGCGTTTCTTCACTATTCACGGCCAGACCATGAGTGCTACAGCTTGGTATCTGAGGTGGGTCAGTTCCCGGCGAATGATAGGGTAGAAGAGAAGTGAGGAATGGCGGAGAAGAACAGAGAGAGAGAAAGAGGAAGGAAGAATGAAAAAAGGGTAAATTTTGCGTGAGAGTTGTCATTGTGCTCGCATGCCCTTCTTGGCTCCATGGAGCGTGTTTTATTTGTGCAGTTATTGTTGCAGTGATCATTGTGAATTGTGATCATTGGGTGGAAATGTGGAATGGATGATGAGGCTCTCTGTTTTCCAGTAGGTGCTTGCAGAAAAAGATGATTTGGGTTTGGACGAGGGTTTCGCCGTTTTGGGTCTGTTCAGGAAATTATGGGCCAGGGCCCAGTTTGTTTTAGTGCACATGCAAGGGAAATGATGGATAGGATAATTTTGTTCTAGTGGGCTTGATTCGGCTGGTGGCTGTTGGCCTGCCCGTCATTGAAGTAGACAGTTGTCTGTGGAACTAGTGTTGAGTCAACGAGTGGAGTTACTCTAAAGTCTAAACTCAAACAAAATTCAACGAGTATATTCAATTAATTATTATAAAATCAAACTCAACCTAACCCAACTAGCATTGATGGTTCACAAATTTAACTATAGATAATTCATTCAAACACACATATCATAATATTATCAAGATTTTTGTAGAAATATATTTCAATAAAGACTAACAACATCCGTAAATTATCCATATTATTAGGTTTATATTGACATATGAATGAATAACATCTATAAATTATCCATATTGTTCATGTTAGATACAAAATGATGTCGTTTTGCTTTTTTATTGTGAGTCGGGTGGAGAGCTGGTTGAGTTTTGGAAGAACACAATTCCAACCAACCTGCCAATTTTAAAAATTGGTAAAACTCGCACCTCACCAAAAAATTCATCAAAACACTTCATACTTCCACCGTTTAGATATGACCGGATACTCGTGGATTCGAGTTCAATTGTCGTCCTACTATTGAGGATGGATATGAAAATATTGGTATAGCATAAAACCAGACTTGTTGGTTGATAAATATTGGCAAGGTTCAGGAGCCAATTTTACCATGACTAATTAGTTAGGGTTCGGACCAAAGTGTGGGAGTATTTGTTATATATGAATATGATTGCCTTGAATGACAAACTTTGGCCGAGCAGCTCAGGTCTAAGGGCAGGAGATGAGGACTGGAGGCTAATACAAGAATGGATATCTTTGGTTAAGGGTTAACTGATTCACCTGAGAATTAGGGTTGAAGTTAAGGATGAGAAAAACTTATCTTAGAGTTAAGTATGTCTTAGTTAAGATACCTTGACGATTAATCCTAGAATGATGTTCTCAATTAAGAATAATAAGGCTAAAGGGTATGAATGCACGCTTTTTTCAATTTAACGATGGTAAGTCTTACAAAGATTTAAGAAAGTCTTAGCCGAAGAATGTGTTCTTCGACCAAAGCTAAATATCGATAGTGTGCAAGGGCTTAGTGGCTTAGGCCATCGGCCTAGACAAAGGTCAAGCTCAGCTTGAGATCACTATTTTGAGAAACTAAGTGACGGAACCATAAATCATTGCTAAGAATTCTTAGGTTAATGGAAAAACTATATATGCTCTAGGGGTCGTGTGCTTGACGATTGTTTTGCTTAACAATTATTGGACCGCACGTTCTACATTCAACGTCCACTTGAAGCGTCAACAATTTTGTAACAAAACTTACCTTAGAGTTAAGTATTTCTTAGTTAAGATACCTTTGACGGATGCTCCTAGAATTAAGTTCTCGATTAAGGAATAAGCTAGGCTAAAGGGCGAGCATGCACTCATTTGAACGGCGAGTAAGTTTTATAAAGATATGATAAACTCGTAGCTAAAGATTGTGTGTTTTTATATGAAAGTTATATGTTAATAGTGTGTAGGGGTTTAGTCGCTTAGACAGCCTAGGCAAAGGTCAAGTTTTGCTTCAGATCGCTATTTCGGGAAACTAAGTGAAGGAACCCTAAATCATGGCTGAGAATTCATAGGTAAATGGAAGGTAAAAAAAAACTATGTGGTTCTCGATTGTTTTGCTTAACAATTATTGGACGGCATGTTTCACTTTCAAAGGCGGCTTGATGCATTAACAATTTTGTAAATTGATCGCAACATATCTGTCACGAATTGAGTTCGCAATTCAACAATCGTTACTGCATTGGAATGGTAGTTTGATTCATTAATAAATAGATGGCGAAACCCCTACAAATTGTCAAAAAGTTCTGGAAAAAAACTAGAAGCGAAAGTAAACCAAGAACAGAAAGTGTTTGGAAAGTAAAACAAGCATCTACATATCTAACTCAGACATCCTCACATGTCTTCCCAGAGCATTCCTCCCTGGAGAAGTAGATATATATTTATGCAGAAGATGCTGCTGCTGCAGTGACCAGTGAATTGACAGTTAAAGCTACAGTATTAATTAACCCTCGTATCTCCCTGCATATATGACCTCTGCTTCTCTAGAAGCACACTTATATTGCATCACAGTTTTCATGAACCCGAAAACCTTTCCGGGTTCCAATCTGCCAACAGGGGTTATGTGAACCTTCTCAAGTAGCGGGGCAGAGGCCAGTACGAACCCCACGAGGTCTAGCTCAACCCGAACCCCATGGATTCCCCTAAATTCAAACTCTTTAAGACGCTGCAAATAACAACGGGATCCACCATGGTGTTCTGCTTCCAACAAGGCTGGTATCGCGTCACTAGCTGCGGTCAGATCTAGCTACAAGAGCAGTTGTAAAAAAGGAACACCAAGTTAAGAACATGAAGCAAAACTTCACTATTGACATGAATTCATCGAGAAAGAACTGTTTGGCAGAGCAGCAAATAAAAAACCAAACCTTAATTCTGAGCTCGACCAGGTTGGGGGAGCTCATAATCAGGCAACTAAAAACACGAACATTCATCAAGCTGCCAAGGTAAAGGTTATTGATCTCGAGGGATTTTAACTGGTGCAGAGGATTAGGAAGCCTGATGGGGATGTTATTAGCAGCACCTGCAGCTGCAAAGTACTAATTAGGAGACAAAAAAAACCCCAAAAATGAGTATCAGGAACTCTGTCATTCATTCATTCATCAAGGCTCAAGAATATGGTGGAAAACGGTTACGAACAACGAAACAATTAGACTTACTCCTATGAGATATCCCTCAGCAGAGAACCGTTGGAGTGCTGGCAGAGAAGCAAAGAAAGCTGCCATATCCGGGGGATTCTCCACGTATACACTACGTTTATGAATCGAAACTAGCTTCAGAAGTGGAGTGGACTTGAAGCAGATTCTCTCGAAACACCCGGAGAAGCAGAACTCTCGGAGGCATGGGGTCGCGATTTCGAGATGATTTGGAGTGCCAGGACAAACTGAAACCCTGAGGGTTTCAAGCACGGGGCACTTGAGGAGGAAGTTCTCAAAGAAATCAGCCGGCAGGGTTACTGTCCACAGTTGAAGAACCCTGAGCTTGCTAAACCCCACAAACCGTGATGGCTGTCTGAGCTCACAATGGCTAAGCCTCAGCCTGCTGATGTGAAGACAGGAAAACAAGGCAGAATGCAACTTGTAAACCAGAGGAGCAGGGGAGACAAGGGATACCTCACTGAGACTGTGACCTCTATGATCAGAAAGATGGAGGATGATCTGATCCATCGCATTCTGGTGGCTGGAACCAATAAAAATTCGAACAATCGAAAGCTCAAACTTTGTTATTGGCCCATTATGAAGCATCAGAACTTTGTAAATGTTCGGTAGTAGTGACGACTCGTCCATCATCGTCATCGTCTGCGTTGGTTGAGACGGACAACCCTTTTGAACAGCGAAATCGTCATGGAACACGAGATGAGGAATGCTTTTCCATTGCCGCCTCCACTTTGTTGACAATGTGGCCGTTTTGATAGCATCTTTGATGGGTAACAACACCAGAATCCGCTTTAACACATCAGCAGGAAGATTGGTGATCCTATCGCCGCTCGATTCACACACCCGCTTCATTCCTGGCTGCCGAAACCTGGAAACAAGTTCCAATGTACATAAATTTTCAAGCATCTATATACATAGAAGGGTTATTTTCTGCCAGAGAGCGGGAAGGCTGAAACCGAGAAGCCCCCTTTGATTTGTTTTTTCTGGGTTGCTTTAGTAGTATTATAGGGGCAGATAGCATAAGCTCGCCTTTATATACAAAGGAAGGACAAGAAGTAAAGTATGGAGCATAATCTCAATTCTCTTCCTACTAGGAAAAAGTATTCCTATTGCAAGAAATTATTTTTTACTTGTATAGTAAAATTTCTTCCCATTTAGAACTTTTCTATAAATATTATGATTTAAAGAAATTATCTGAAATACCACTGTTCATAAAATATTTTCCAGTCGACTGTCGTAAAAAGTGAATTGGGGCGTGCACCTCAATTGGATTTTAGCGAAAGTTAAAAGAAGGGATTGCTAAATGTCGCCCTGATTTATTATAATCACCCTAATTTAAACGACTAAATTATCTATTTACCCTTCTCCCATTTTATTTCTAGAAAACATTTTATTCTAATAAATATACATCTGTAAAAAACTGAACCCATCTCCATCACCGTCGCCGCCGTTATCCTCGCCCCATCGTCGGTCACTAATTCCCACTGCCGACACCGGACCGTCGCCGATTCCTACCGTCAACCGTCTTCATCAATGTTATCGTCATGCTCATCACAACATGGAGAAGGGGCACATGAGTTGATTCCTGCGATTTGGTGAAGGGATATACCCGATTGGGAGTTGATTTCGGGGGCAGTGAGATGGGAAAGACACAACCCGGATTTTATTTTCGGAGGTGGGGTGATTCAGGCGACATGCATAACAGGGAGGTTACAGTGGTGGGGATTTTATTCTAAAAGAATGCACTGGGGTGAAGAAAGGAAGCGCCGTAGCGGAGGGGCTTTTGAAGTTGGAGAATGGTAGCCGAATTGGCGGCTGAAAGTATTGGATAGCAGTTTGTTTCCGTCAACAAAAATGAATAAGAAGAGTTTTTAAATTTAATTTAATTAATTGAGGATAATTTAGTAATTTTTTTTATTTTGAAATAGGACGATAATAAAAACCTAGGGCTAGGGATGGTAATTTACCCACCCATGGGTAATTTTGCCCAAACCCAAGTAGACCCATTAATTATGGGTAGGGTTTGGGTGATGTGTGTATGGGTTTGGGGTTTGTATATGGGTTTGGGTTATATATGGATATTATGGGTTAATACCTTGTTATGGCCTGAACTATGACCATGTAATCAACTTTGGCCAGTGGTTTGAGAAATTAACATCCTGGCCCGAACTATGCAGCATATAGACAAAATTGGCCTGGAGCGTGGTTTGACCGTTTGTTTGGACGGTCAACACCGTTGACCGTTAGTCAACTGTCCAGGTCACTGCCATGTCAACATAAAAAAGTACAATTTCATTTTTCTTTTTATTTCATTTACAAAATTGAATAATTAAAAAAAAAACAAAAACAAAAATTTTTGGCTCACCCATCCCCACCTTATCCCCTCACCTTCTTTCCTTTTCGATCAAACCCAAACAAACTCTATTCCATCTTCTTCCTCCTTCTTCCCCGACGAGCCGCCGCCTCCATATCCTAAACGAAAACAAATCCCTTCTTCCCCGACGAGGAGCCTGTGCTGGAACCAGATCATCAAAGCAACAACAATGGCATTGATGACGACGAGCCATCAATGCAGCTGAGAGCAGCAATGAAGCGGATGAAGTACGAGAGGAAGTTCTCGGCTTCTCTGTATGCTTTCCACGGGATTCCAGAGTGCTTGAAGCTGCAGCTTAGTGGGTCGGTATTATCATCTCCGACTGAACAATTATCCAGCCTTCAGAATGCCTGCAGAAGGAACAACAGAGAAGTGAGTCATGAAATAGAACAGAGGGCATTGGCAAAAGAAGATAAAGATGAAAGCTTTATTATGGCAGATAAACATCAGAAGAACCCAGAAAGCACCACAGGTGAAGAATCGACTCTATGGAGCTCTCTTGATCTCCCACCAATCTGCTTCGTCTCATAATTACTCAAAACCGAAAATTGCTTAGCTTTCCCTTTAATCTCACATCTTAACGATACCCACTTACTAGTAACACTGTAATTTGAGCAATGGCGAAACTATCGCTATGATATCTCTAAGGAGTTTTAAGAATTGGGGCTTTTTTCCTTTTTAGGTTAAAGCTTCGGTAGCAAATTAGGGGGAAAGGGTTAGGAGAGCATAATGTATACATACCTGACAAACAGTGAATCGGAGAATTGAGAAGCGATGGGGCCTGCTTTCCATTGATGCCGGTTTCCCGCCGTTTGAAGTAGTTCCTCGGCATCGTCATCGGCGGCCGGCTCGTCGGGGAAGAAGGGATTTGTTTTCGTTTAGGATATGGAGGCGGCGGCTCGTCGGGGAAGAAGGAGGAAGAAGATGGAATAGGGTTTGTTTGGGTTTGATAGAAAAGAAAAGAAGGTGAGGGGATAAGGTGGGGATGGGTGGGCCAAAAGTTTTTTTTTTAAATTATTCAATTTTGTAAATGAAATAAAAAGAAAAATGAAATTGTAATTTTTTTACGTTGACATGGCAGTGACCTGGACAGTTGACTAACGGTCAACAGTGTTGACCGTCCAAACAAACGGTCAAACCACGCTCCATGCCAATTTTGTCTATATGCTGCATAGTTCGGGCCAGGATGTTAATTTCTCAAACCACTGGCCAAAGTTGATTACATGGTCATAGTTCAGGCCATAACAAGGTATTAACCCTATTATCTATATGGGTATGGGTTGGATATGGATATCCATTTACTTGAGGGTGTTTTAACTACACATGCAAAAATTGGACTTATTTGTAAAACTTGAAAATTTTAGGTACCAAAATGTAAGGCCAAAAAAATTTAGGTACCAAAACGTAATTTTCCATCGATATTTTGAGGACTTATATGCACAAAAATTAAATTTAGGTACTAAATATGCATATCTATTAAGTTTAGGTACCAAACTGTAATTTGTATTTGGGCATGGGTACAAACCCAAATCCATTTGTTATAAACCCAACCCAAAGTAAATGGGTATGGGTACAAACCCATCAAACTTTACCCATATCCATATATTTGAATTTCATACCCAACCCAATTGGGTTGGATAGTAAAATACCCATGGGTATGAGACAAAATTGTCATCCCTACCTAAGGCGATGTTTAGCCATTCAGTAAAAGAATAGTTGGGACCTGCCGTCTCAATGGTGTTGTTTTTTTTATGATGATGAAAATTGAATTGAAAATAAAAAATGTTCAAACAACCAACAAAAAGAGACCTCAAACAGAAGAAAAAAAGGAAAAGGAGGACATCACAAGAAGTGACGGTCCCACAAGTGAAGAAAAAACTAAAAGAACAAAAAAAAAAAGAGGACAAAAGATAAAAGCCACAACAGCTTATCGAGTCTGCAGAAAGGGTAGACCCACAAGATTATTCAAATGCAGCAGCTTACTATCCAGTATCCATCCAATAACAAGAGCAAGAAAGAAGAGCTCATCAATGATTGGGAAAGAGCTCCAATGTGCAACTCACTCCCGGGCTCCATGAGTTCTGTTACACACTTCGATGAGTGACTGCATCCACTCTGCTTTGTTCTGGTCACTCACCAATCCTGCAGCTGATATCCATTCCACAAGATCCCTGCCAATCTTTTGCAGATTTACTTGCCAAGCCAATCTTTTTTCTTCGAAAACTCTTGCATTCATTTCCCTCCATATTTCCCACGTGATAGCATGAATGAGGCAGTTTTTGAACCACCATCGCCATGTCGGAGGATCCATAGATGGGCAGCGTAGCCAAGATTTCGTTTAAGGTGGGTCCCCTAAAAAAAATGATAAAATAGTTTTTTTAATATAATCTTACGTTGAAAACTTTTGATAAATTAAAATGCATTTGCAATCGAAAATATCAAGAATATCACTCTGCATATATACCAAACAATCATTGATTTAGTTATTCGTAGACTCGTAGTGCTTCAAATGGTGTTCTTTGTTAAGAACCGTTAGTATCAATACCTCGAGTTATTGATAGAGGTTTAATAAAATATTTATACCAACCAATAATTCATGATTTACCTAGTCGTTCGCTTTCGAATAATGTTCTTAAAAAAAATATTTAGTATCAATAAATCGAGTTGTTGAAAAATTTCAATAATATATTATACCATTTACTACCATGCTCCCTTATAAGAAAGTCAACTTATACGAAATTATTGTTTGTACAAATCTGTATATCGTATGCATAAGAAATGAGGTCGCCAAGATTCAAACAAAAAACTTTTCGACCAACTATTCTCAATTAAACGCGACCTAGTTTTTTTTATATCAATTAGTTATTGTACCTAATTTAACCATTTCCCCCGAATCAGGGTAGGTCCCGGGAACCACCCTGTCACCCTCTCCCTCCGCCACTGTACATGGCCAGGCGGGAATCACTTCCTCGATCCCTCCTGCCGGCATTCCATTGAAATCTGTAATCTGCAAACAACATTTCCAAACTTTGCTGTTATATTCACAGGTTCTGAGTAGGTGATCTGTAGTCTCGCTCTCCTTCTCGCACAATAAACACCTGCTCGCCAACTGCCACCCTCTTCGTTTCAAAGTTTCCTGTGTGAGGATTCGAGTATGAACCACCAGCCATAGGAAACATCTTATCTTAGTGGGAACTTGTTTCCGCCACACCGCCTTATAAGGAAAGTCCGAACTGCAGAAGAACGAAACGCAGCACTTCAACCTTCTTCTTCATTGAACATCAAAATGGAGCGGGACAACCGTTGAAGCTTGGATTTGAAATCAATGTGTCTGCTCTGTTACCCAATCGAGGTGATTGGCCGTATGTCCGTATCAGGAATCTTCCCGGCCTTAAGTGAACCCTGTTCGTTAGAGGATGGTGGAGCTAGAGGAAGAAGCTGGAAGGTGCGAGATTCCATCGCTATTTGATTTGGCTGTCGTCAGAGGGCCGCCGGCGGGAGGTATAGGATTGCCGGAGGGCCTCCGTTGTGTTTTTCCTGTCAAGTGTCGCGTGAAAAGGCCTCCCGGGAATTTCTCGGGTATGTGGCGGATGATTGACGAAGTTGAGGATGGGTCGATGGAGCATTCGAGATTGAGGGAGAAGCTAGCGGAGTCTGAGCGAGGATCCGACGGAGAGAAAAGTTGATGTAGGAGATTCCAATCTATGTTTTTTTTTACATTTAACTCCTATAAATATTGGTGCCTACAATTTTACATTTAATAGATGATAATATTTAGTACCTAAAAATAGTTTTTTGCATTTAGGTCCTAAAAATATTGAAGAAAAATTTTATTTTAGTACCAAGTTTTTTCTTACATTTTGGTGCCTAAATTTTTTAAAACTTACAAACTGGTCCACTCTTAAGAAACTTCTGATAAGCTTTGAAAAACTTGTGACATGCTTTTATAAACTTCGGGCTTGCTTTGAGGTTCTGTCCTACTTTGATGTTCTGGCAATGCTTTTAGGAGGTCGTGCCAATGCTTTGGTGGTCCCCCTTCCCTTCCCCATTTTTTCATAATACCAAGCGTGTCTCTCCTTGCCTATCCTCTCATTAATTGTGGTCAACACATTTCAATAAAAAATCGCCCAAACAAAATGTTCCTATTAGCTGGAGCAAGTGTTAGCACCATGCTAACAAAAAAATGTTAGCATGCTAGCCAATTCCTCCGAAGCAGCGAAGTCAGGTTTTCAAGGTCGGGGAGGCTGTAAGTAATATGAAAATGAAACCCTGTTTAGTTGGTTACTGAACCTGATAATGAGAATAAGATCAATTTTCTTGATACTAGTATATACTCCAATATCAAAGAGGCCGTTCGAATTGATAGTTGGTACGAAATACTTGTTAATCTAGTCCTCTCCGGCACTTTTTTTCCATTTTCTCCACTGCCCCAAGACACCATTCTTCAAATATATTTTTTTCATCGAATCATCAACTATATTAACCACAAGTAATCAAAGAGGAAGCAAATTACTCCTATATTATGAAATCAGGATCAAGTGATCAAGTAATCAAGTAGGAGATTTAATTTTTCTAATTGAACCGTCCATACGATACAATTTTTCAATCATGAATTATAATTATAACTAGAATTGTTGAAAGTAATTCAATTACGCGGTTCAGATAACACTTACTAACACACGGTAACACATAATAATATCATTTTATTAATTAATTAATGATCTCAAATAGTACACGCGGATTCATCAATAATGAAAGTTTGGTTTTGGGTTCTGCCCAGATTGCCATGCAAAATAACGTTCATCCTGCTCCTGGCCTTTCCTCCTCAAGTAAATCCCGTCGTCCTTGGCAATCCAAAACGTATGGTGACCACTGCTTTCCCTGTATTCCGCCTCGTCCTCCTTGAACGCAGTGTAATCGACGTGCTGGCTGCCGTCGGGGGCCGCGTAGCACGTGAACAGCGTGGGAATCAGAACGTTGAGCTTGAACCGGAACTCGTACTGCGATCCGACGGTGATGTTGTGAGGTCCCAGGTCGTCGTCTCTGGATTTGCAGTGCACCAGCAGCACCTTGCCGCCCCCGAGCTCGTTGACGACGTCGACGTAGTGATACGGCCAGATGGCGGAGGGAGTTTGGGCGGCAGTACTTCCGGCGACCAAGGCGAGGAAGATGACTACTGCAGCCGTTGCCATTGCGCTCCTCGTCGTGATAATTAATAATGGTGTGGAGGGAAGGGTGTGCTGGGCTCCTCATGTTGGCAACCACATTTATAAATTGAGTGTAATGTTTTTTGTTCCATTAATTTCTTGTGTTTGGCATGGTTGTCAAACCGGTCTCATGCCGGCCGGTTCAACCGGGTACAACTGATACCGGTCACCAAACCGGCTGGAAAGAGGCCGGTATTTAACTGTGGTCAAATCCGGTCAATGCCGGTCAGACTCGGTCAATTCCGGAAATTCCGGCCGGTTAGACCAGAAACCGGAATTCAATGTTACACATATTTTATCCAAAAATAAACACCCTTCTTAGGATTTGAACCAAGTACCTCATTTTCATTTTAGACTCTCTTATTCACGAGTAGGCTACAAGAAACTTTGTTGTACATATTAACGTTATATATTATATATCTAACACTAAATTTTACACAAATCATTATAAACATTAATAAAATTCATTTTATATAATTTTATTTTTAAGCATCTAATTGTTTAGTATTGGTTACCAATTCTTAGCTATAAATTATTTTGTGTGAAATAATTTTTCTAATTGCTTTTTGATGACTAATTTATTTGGAATTGAGGATTTTCATTTGTCTCATATATTTTATTAAAACTGGCACAACCGGCGTGAATATTGGTTGTACCACGGTCGGACCATTCCACTTTCAAAACCGGCACACCGGCATAAACCGGTTTGACTACCTTAGTGTTTGGTAAAGGGTGCTTTTTATGCCATTAATGTATTAATAATGGTTTTTGGGCTTTAGCTACCATCTTTTTTTGTTCTCATTTAACTTAATCCCTCTTTTTGACCAAAGACAAGAACTAAGGGCGCGCATGTGGTCGGACAATAAATTTACAATTACTAAGGACGCGATAGTCTAGATGCATCTCGACTCTCGTAGAAAAAAGCATGTTTGGTTCTTAGGTGAGTAGCTTCTATAAAACTCAAAGGAGCAAAAAAGACACGAAATCGACTCGAATAAGGTCATAAGAAGAAAAATATGAGAGTACTATATACCTCCACGATTACCCCTGCGGCCCTGGTTGAGAGTAATAAACCACCGTGATTATGTCCAAATGTGAAAGCGATGGTAAGAACCCCTGCGAAAACAATAGGAATTACCGAATACGACAAAAAAATCCGTTGTATATAACGAATGTAATTGAGGATCAATTCCGAATAGTCAAAATTGTAATAATTGCAAAACATGACTCTACTAATTGAGACATCTAATAAATTCATTGAAAAAGAACTTGGATCGAAGTATATATAAGTCACTAGAATGAAGAAAATTAATTAAAACAACAAAATTTCATGAAAATATTATATTTATATGCTACATATAAAATATGTTAGAGAAAAATAATGATTATTTCTAGACAAAATACATATGCATGTGTATAATCGGGCGGGTTCGGGTTGGATAGTGAGAAACCCATGCCCACCCATTATTCGTAATATTCGGGTTCGGGTTTTACCCGTACCTACTAAAAGTCTTTCGGGTTCGGATTTTACCCTACCCGATTGGGTCAAATTCAAGCGGATATCCACGGTTACGAATATTTTTGCCATCCCTACATGCTGGCGGATTACCTTGGCTTCCCCAAGGACATTTATCATTGGTTTAATGATAATTAATTTAAAATTAGGGATGATGTATTATTTTGGTTTGAACTTTGTTGGAAATAATAATTTTTTGGTCTTAACTTTCAAATAAGACGCTTTTGTCCAAATTTTAAAAGAAATTGACACATTTTGCCAGGAGTTTGGATTGATGTTTAATATTGAGGGCCAAACATTTATTACGTTAGCGATTCGGCATTTAGTACTGCATGGCAACAACTTGGCTTCCGCGTTAGTAATTTTTCAAACCTCCTGACTCCTCGGCTTACATCGAGATTCCATCACCGGAACCATCCCATCTCTAAATCATCTCATCATCCACTATTGCATTCTGTATGAATAACCGGATGTCAAGCTCCATCCTTCAAATGGTGAGACGGTCACTACAAGAAAATGCATCTTTCATCACGGGGATTCCATGACAAAAGATGACATATATATATAACGGGGTGATATTCCCGTGACTGTTGAATGTTAAACAACCATCAAGATAAATTCCCGTGACTGTTGTCGGGCGGGAACAAAAACTTGATGGGCGGGAATAAAAACAATTATTTGCCACCTCTATTTGACTCGCTCAAAAATTGGCTCCCCAAATATTTCAATTGTCCCGCCCTGTCCATTATTTGTTTGGCTTTTTTGAATTTTTTTTCCTTTTTAACTCTACCCAACTTTCCCTTCTTCCTTCTTCGTTCTTTTCTTTCCTTTCTCTCTCTGTACCAAGAAAGAGAATAAGAAACTCCATTCCTCTGATAAGACATGGTAGAGACTAGAGAGGCACGAGTGAATCCGAAGGACAACATAGGGATTTTACGAAAGGGAAAGAAAAGGAAAGAGTAAGGAAGACTCTCCGCTCCAAAAAAACCCTCCACAACTCCTCCGCCACCCACCACAGTTGCGAATCCACATCCATGCCACCAACCACTGCTTCGAATCCAGATCCTCTGCCGCTCAAGCCCCATGTCTTACTTAGATCATTCATGCAATCCTTGGCTCCACTGAGCACCAAATCCTCTTTTACAGATCGAGCCAAATCCGATATCATCCTCTAGAACTCCCCCTATTCCAGAGTCCCGACCCTCATCTTCAAATCATCTTAGACGCTCCTCCCAGGTTTGTCCAATATCGTCTTTGCGTGCGCCTTCGGCATCCTCTCTCCATTGTTTATTTGAAATATCCCCAATTGTTCTCTGTGATTTTAGGTTTTAGTCTTCGTTTGTGGGTTTATTGAATTTTTTTGTGTTATTTATCATGGATGCAGGTTCTGCCAACTTAACCACCGATCTGCCCCCACCCTGGCCTCCCATCGTAGATGCAGGTGTATGGCGTTGCCTAAAACATCAATTGCAGTTGTGGTAGGCTTCGCCCCCATCTCTAATTCAATTGGAGAGCTATGCTTCATTCAGATTTCCTAATTGCACAATCAAATTATTTACAGCAAAATAACCAATTAGACAATGATAGATGCATTTGAGTTCCTTTGCTGCCTTATATATTGTTGTCATTGTTGGTGTCAAGCTTAATAATATGAGTGAGGAATCAGGAGCTAGAAAATCATAGATGGAATCTTAGGCTTTTGGTTCTTGCTTTCATCGTCCCTTTTTTTTATTTCAAATTGCTAAAAGTGGATCATTTTTTTATTTTTTTTTCGTGGTAGAAAAGAGTTATTGCTAATTGCAGTCTTGTGTTTGAGTAATTGATCCTCATTACTTTACATTCCAAAATCTTGTTGAGTTTATGAGTCACTTTACAGGTTGTGTGCAGACCGGCTCTTAGTCACAACAAATACAAGTTTAGTGCATATGTTTTGAGAAGTGATAACCAAATTTGATAATCACCCGAGAAAAGTATATAGAAAAGGTGAACTAGAATTGAGGTTTAATGATTCCACTCCTTGATTACTGCAATATAATTTTTCTTTAAATGAAGAACATAGATGGAAGAAAGAGGCACTAAATGATTCTGCCTATTCAATTTAGTTACATCGTAGCTAGGCTCCTTAGTTTACGGGAGTTTTGGTAGTATGTAATGTACCCATTACTCTCAACTTGAGAGCATAGATTTAATGTATCTAAGCGGCTTCATGTAGATGATTTGCAGCGTGCAATCCGAACCGAGGACGGTTACTATGTAAGTGCGTTTGTTAGCTTGAACCGATTGGGTGAAAATACATACCAACTCTTGCGTTTATTGCCTCTTGATCTAACTGACATTTATGATTGTTCTGCACTTTCCAAAGCGTTTTCATGTTAATTGTAATGTTTGATTAGCTACTGCAAAACATTTACTAGGAGTAGTTTGGCAAGTGATGCTGCAAGAATGGTTTTCACTAGCTTCTATTTTTTTTCTACTGCTGAAAATTTTCCTGCTTCTACTTTGGAACTGAAGGTACTATGATTGTTGCTGAACTTTTTCTGCTGCTACTTTTCTGGTTTTCGCTAGCTTATATTTTTGTTGTTGTTTGGAAAGTGATGCTGGAAGATCAGGAAAATCCCAGACAACTTTGAAAGTTCATAATGAAGCAGACAAGTTAAAAGCCATATATCTGTCTTCTTTTTATTCATTGATTCTTACAGTGTCCCCCTCCCACATGTAATGCGATAAAGCAAGTCATAGGACTTATACAAACTGGTATAACGTGTTGGGAAAATACAAAGAGAGTAAAAATAACATGTTGTGTTCATGTGTTGTAGGATAAGTTACTTACCAAGAGAGGGGCAACTGGTTTCACAATCAATGGAGTCGACAATGGAGACTGGAGAGGACAGGCATCAACTGCAGAGGAAGATGACAGAAGGGTGAAGCACGAGAAGCTAGTTTAACTTTGCACGTTTTTTAGTGCAATGGTAATTTTTTTTTCCGGACCAAGATAGAAACTACTCGAGCTTATTTTGTTGAAGCATTCATATTTTGTGATATGATTAATTAGATAGTTTCCTTGTGCCTAAAATTTTTCAAGAATTAGATTTTATTAGCATTGAAGGGCATGATATATATAATGCCGAGACTTGTTAATTATTTCAAAAGTGATTTCTTCTTGTTACTTTTGGAAGATTTCTGGTTATTTTAGCAAATATAAATTACAATATTTGGTCTGACAAATGGTTTAATAAAAATCTGAGAAATCTCGTGACCATTGAAATAAAACTGTTATTATGGCAATTACATCATTGTAAATATTGGACAAAATCCCGTGACAAATAACTCAATTTGTCATGGGATATACCGTGACATTTTCATATTTTTGTCACGGTAAGTTTACCGTGTTCAATACTTAGTCACGGGAGGTACCGTGACAAACAAAGATCATTTGTCATGGGAATCTCCCCGTTATTATATAATTATGATCACGGGATTTCCCGTGACCGTTGACCTTCAACCACGGGCATGCTTGTCACGGGATATTGCCCGTGACTAAGTTAATCGGTCACGGGAATTGAATGTTTGGTCTTGGGAAATCCCGTGATTGAAAGTGAATTTTCATGTAGTGGGTGGCGCGTTGGTTCTGGAGAGCCTTGGTGAGGAAGGAATCTGTTAGTGTTGTGCTATATGATCCACGATTGAACTTCTCTCAACAATTCGAGTTATTGGGATCAACTGGTTTTTGACATGGTATTAGATACTTCTGTAACCGAGAGATCGTGTGTTCGATTCCCGCTGACCCCCATTTGTTAAGTACATGGTATTCTTGTCTTCATACCTGTCTTTCGTAAAAAGGAAGAGGGAACGAGAGATATTAAGGGAGGGGAAACCAAAAGCTGGTCAACATCGATGATTTTTAGGCCAAATTTGTCCATTTTTTTTAGAATTCAAACAAATAAAGTTGAGGCAAAAACTGTCATTTACAACAAAGTTTGGGCCAAAATAAGATATTATGATTATCCTTAAAATTATATGAGGGATTTACCACTTTTCCTTAAAATTACACAGATACTGCACTTCATAACAAACTCGGGATCCAAAATAGGGTGTATAAACCATGCATAACTATAATTATGTCATTACTTCCTAGTGGGGTCGGATCTAAATATTGATAATAAAATAAATATTTTATTTTCCACGATTTTTAAAATTGATTTTTATCTTATTTGTTTTAATTGGATTTCAAAAGAATTTGCACACATGAACAAGTTTGTGATCTATAAATGATATTTTTTCAATATATTTAAAAAAAAAAATTATACCACTCGTTATCATCCCGGTATCACTTGGTGCCGCCTTCATTTTAACTCGAATTATGAAAATAAAATTCTAGAATAAACAAGTTCATAGTGATCCATTGTATCTACAAATTTCTTGGAAAAAAATTCAAAATCATATAACCATTATATATTATCCTGGCATAAGGTGGCAACTAATGGTATACAATGAAGAATTGTGATAAATGATGATTAGTGTATTTTTATTATTGGGTATGCTGTATACAATCATTCTCAGCCTGTTTGGATACAATTCCATAAGAAATGGAAATGGATTTCCATTCCCAATTCTAACTTTTATGGAATTCCATTTCCAATATTTGTGTTTGGCATAATTCCAACAACTATGGAAATGAATTGTATTCTTTAACAATCATTAATGATTTAGTAGATTTTTTTATTTTGGAAAATGAAATATGGATGAGAGAGAAAGAGAGAAATAAGATAGTGGAATTATAAAATAATAATAAATATGAATGGGTCCCACTAATTCCATCTCCATAAACCCAATTCCTATCACTTTTGATAGGAATTCTAATTTCCAATATTTTAGTCAAATGGAATTCATTTCCCAACCTTCTTACCATTCCAAACATGAAATAATGAAATAGAATTGGAAATGGAATTCCAATTCCTGAGTTTTTTGTCCATCCAAACAGGCTGTCTATGTTTATACCATCATGATATACCGTGAATGAACAAATCACCTTGGTACATGATGGACTCATAAACAACTAGGATGTACTAAAGCGTGCTGGGTCAAGAAGCTAGGCCCGTAGATCTAAAGCAGGAGTTGGAGCAAGAGCGATTGGGCTCCGCCCCACACTTTCCTTTTCCCCGCCATTGCAAAATATTCCCGCCTTAAAATTCTGGCTATCTTTCCCTTCCCTCTTCTTCCACTAGGGGTGGTGTCACGACCCAAAATGTCGTGACCGTGTTGATCGTCTGAAGAACGCTACCATCTGGTTGTCTTGCCACGAGAGGGGTAAAGGGGGCGACATTAGCGATAAGGCGTTGTCTGTCTGTGCATCGTTTATAGCCGAGTCAGGATGTGGCTATGAAGGGGATCATTGCAAGATAAGGCACAACTGGTCGGAGGCTATTGCCATCTCCCTGATGAGCCCAAGGCAGGGCGAAACCAGTTGGCATGCGTATGCAGAGAGGCTGGTCTTGAGGAATGAGTGCACCTCAAGACGCCTCACGGACTTCGGAAGTCTATGTCCGTGACAAGTGGTATCAAAGCCTGGTTAGGATGAAGAGCCTAGTTCCTCTCTTAGTACGGCATAGGTCGTGTATGGGCGGACCCAATGGTCGACTGAGAGGCGGTCCTGGGTGTGCATATCAGGCGGTCCGGACGCAGATACACATGTGTTGCGCCGTTGTGGGGGACCTCGACAGGCTGAAGATGCAGCGGTCGAGAATGTCGTTCAACCGAGGAAGTAACGCTAGCGAGAGCGTAGAGTGAAGGTCGATTGAGGTACAAACGCTAGGAGTAGCGTAGGGTGAAGGTCGACTGAGGTACTAGCGCAGCAGAAGCAAAGAGTGAAGGTTGATGTCGAGGGGCGAAGAGGTATGTGCGCGGGGCACAGCAGGCTAGCGCGAGGACGCGACCGTAGCCTGTCCATCAGAGGATGGTATCGTATGCGAACGACCACAATTGATTCAAGTGTTGCAATACATGTTGCGGAGAGAAGAATTCTTCACCTTTTTCTCCAAAAAAAAAAAAAGAATTCTTTACCAGCACAAGGACGTGCTGCATTATGAGTTTTTTGTAGACTTTTTTGACATACTTATGTGTTCTTTTTAAGTATTTATTATTGAATAAAAATAGTAGATATCAATTCATAATCAAATCAATACAACACAAGTACACAATAACATCATGCTACCGTCAAATTCGAACAAAGAAGCAGCCAAAAATAGGAGGCCAACAACAATTACTCAACTATAAAAATCACCAAGTTACATGGAAGCTTAAATGTTGTTGTTTGTTGAGAGCAACTGTACGCAAGTCAAGCTTTCTACTGTCCTCCTTTCATGGCTTTTCACTAAAATTATTCTCGCTTGAACCTAATTACCTAAACCACTATTACAACTAGGGTAGAAAAGGGATCTTGTAGGCCTTCAAACATACATCCTATTTAGAGATGACAACTTGTGATCCAATACACCAATCCAATCCATCTATTTAAATATCCAACTAATCAAATTCATTTAAATCCAATCCATTTGATCAAAGTTCAATTTGTAAAATATTTAGAGGTGGCAATTTGTTATCCAATACACCAATCCAATCCATCTATTTAAATATCCAACTAATCAAATCCATTTAAATCCAATCCATTTGATCAAAGTTCAATTGGGTTGGTGGAATCATGGGTTGACCATAGATCCAAATGACAAATAACGTTTTAGTACCTATATTTTCTATATTTTACATTTTGGTACCTAAAATTTATTTTTATACGAAAAATGTCATTGGAAAATGACGCTTTTGTACCTAGAAATTTTCATTATGACATTTGAGTACCTAAACTTTTTAAAATTTACATATTAATCCAAGACTTGGATGTCATTTGGATTCATGGATCAATCCACCAATCCATATGATCCAATCCATGAATCCACCAATCGGTTTTTTATTTTTTGGATAAGGGTGATATAGGGTTAATTTTGTGTGATTAAGGTACTACTGAAGGGATTCGAACCTGAGATCTTGTTCGTTGAATCCACTAATCCATTTGATCCATGAATCTACTAATCCAATCCACCAATCCGTGGATCCAATCCATTTGCCACTTCTAATCCTATTATATTCTGCCTATGCCTACGGCTCATTAAGGCCTTTTTTCTCTCTAATTGTGACAATGACCGTAATCGGCTAGTTGGTGTCGCGAACTAACCGTTTGACTGTTGGTGACCAAGTAATCTAAATTTGGCTACCAGTAACAAACCGTTTACTGTTTAGATTTTAAGCTGTTATCTATGCTAACTACCGATTGCCAGTTTGATTGTGGGTTATACATTTAACAGCCCTGGTTGTACGAAATCACATGTATGTATGGTTAATTTCAAACCGCTACAAGAATGAGATTGATGATTACAAGACTTGGATAGCATTTGGATGGCATTTGATTAAGAAAAATCTTGTCACTGTCAAAACCCTTGGTTAAAACAAGGGTAGAACCTTGGATACCCCTTCCAGATAAATGAACAATGATGCAATCAATCCCATTACAGGTCGTTAATCGAGGAACTGCAAGCACAAACTTGGCCACCTGCCCATCATGAACCAGCAGAGACTTGTAAGTTTTCAGAATTTAACTGACTCGGCTCGGTGATTTCACTGATTTGTAGCGTGAAACCATCATCGAACATTGGTTGAGGAATGCTTCTCCAGAGAAGCATCCATTTGCTTGACAGTAAAATTGATCTTGCTGCATCTTTGATGGGTAGCAAGCAGCAACATGAGGATCTGATGTATTACATTCTCAGGAAGTTGGCTAATTAATCCCTCGTCATTACTCGAATCGAAAACCCGCTTGCATGGCTCCTTACCTGAAGCACTGAAAGGGCTTGTCACCAAGTTCATTGAGTTGAGAGTTGAGACACACAGAGAAATGAGCAGAATTAGGTCAAATATCCAAAGTAGAAACAAAAGACGACTAATGACGAACAAAGACTCCCTGGTCGACACATCTAAGTGTCAAACTAAATATCGAAGTGCCGATCTTCCTTCTCACCTGACGCCACAACAGCTTGTCATTACTGGCTTCTCGGCGTTGAGAGCTGCGATGCAGATTCAAATGAACTCTTCCAGGACAAATATCCAGATTAGAAACAGACAAAAGAAAGCCAATGACAAACAGAAACTCAAGAGTCATGAACGTTCACAGTATTCTTACAAATACTAACACTACAACGCCTTGCACATTTCATGTTCCTCCATACATAATTAACACTAGTCATTAACACGTTAAAACAACAGGCATTAGGATCCAGCTGGTTGTCAAACTTTTGTTCCAAACTTATAACTACTTGCATTCAAGGATATAAACTAATATTAAACCAAGCTACAACAGAGATTCCCACATGTCCCCAGAGCATCCTTCCCGGAGTTGATATGCAGAAGATGATATTGCAATGACCGCTGAATGACAATTAACGACGCAGTGCCGAGTAAGTCTCTGCATATATGACCTCAGCTTCTTTAGAAGCACGCTTATACTGCATCATCGTCTTTATGAATTTAAAAGCCTTTCTGAGCTTCAACTTGCGGCGACAGGGTAAAATATGAACCCTCTCAAGTAGTGGGGCAGTGGCTAGTATGAACCTTACGAGCTCCAACTCAACCTGTGTCCCACGAACATATGCGACCTCGAGCACTTTAAGGCGCTGCAAACAACAACCGGATCCACCGCAGTGTTCTGCTTCCAACAAGGTTACTAAGCTTGGTACTGCATCATTAGTTGCAGGCTGATTTAGCTCAGTGTCCATCTACAAGAAAATTTGAAAAGGAACCAAGTAAGAAAATGAACTATATTTTATATAACCCCATATATAGATACTTATTACATTCTTTGAAAATAACTTTTAAGTAGATTGACAACACAAACCAACCTGAATCTTGAGCTCAAACAGATTGGGGGAACTCATAATCAGACAAACAATAGCACGCACATTCCTCAAGCTGCCAAAGTCAAAATTACAGATCTGGAGGAATTTTAACTTGTGCAGAGGAGCAGGAAGCTTGGTGGGGACGTTGTTATAACCTGCAGCAAGGTACTAATTTGGGAACAAACCCAAATGAGTATCAGAAACCCAATTTTTTAAAGAACCGGGAAAAAGTTATAAACAGGAAACAATCAGACTTACTTCTAAGAACTTAAAGTCAGCAGAAAATCGTTGGAGTGTTGGCAGAGAAGCAAAGAAAGCTACCATATCTGGAGTCGTCTCGACGTTTTCATTGTGTTTATAGTCAAAAATAGTAACTTCCTTCAGACGTGGAGTACCCTTGAAGCAGATTCTCTGAAACTCCCCATAGAAGTTGAAACTTTGGAGACATGAATTCACAATCTCAAGATTACATGGGATACCATGGCAATACATAAGGCAGAAGATTTTAAGCATCGGGAAGGAAATTGTCAAAGAAATCAGTGGGCAAGGTAACTCGAATCAGAAGAAGACGGGTAAGCTTACTAAACCCCAGAAATCGTGATGGTTGTCTAAATTCGCAATTGATGAGTTTCAGGCCGTTTAGGTGAAGACAAGAAAACAAGGCAGAATGTAACTTGTAAATCACACTGTCAGGGGAAGGAAAGCTAAGGGTGAACTCACGGAGACCTCTATCAGAAAGATAGATGATGATTTGATCAATCTCATTGTGTAAGCAGGGGCTTAATCCACCAAACGCAAGCTTAAAATTTGTTATTGGCCCATCATGAAGCAAGAGAACTTTGTATACGGTGAACATAAACTTGTTCATCATCATCATCATCTCATCTTGATCAGCTGAGTTGGCAGCAAAGAACTTAAGTTGAGGGATACTTCTCCAATGGCGCCTCCACTTTGTTGACAAGGTGGCCATTTGGGCAGCACGTCGGGTGGGCAACAATAACTGAATCCGCTGTATTACCTCCACAGGAAGGTTGGTAATTCTATCGGCACTTGCTTCGCACATTCCGTTCATCCCTGCCACTTCTACACAAAGATCCAAACAAGTAACCCCAAACCAACATATCAGCCAATGAGGTGATTCAAGCATATATATACTGACAGACATATGCAAGCTTCTCCTGAGTTCTAGCAATTAACCATCAGTGTATATCATATACCAAATCAGATAGAGTAGTAATTACCTTGTTCACGAAAAGGCGGGAGCCAAAATGCTGAAACCGCCGAGACCCTCGATTTTTCTCTGCGTTGCTTAGTGGACAGGATCCTTGGTGCAGCAGAGCTTCAAGTTAGGGCTTGGGATTCGGTTCCTTTTCAGTTCCAGAACCAAATTGGGGACGAGATTGGTCGCCGAAACCCACACCGCAGACTATAGTTGGGCGAACACAAACCTCACGGTTTTAAGCTCACTGAAAGAGGCAAGGTAACGACTGCTGAAGGGAGTTTGTTTCTAGGTTACTGCAATACTTCCCAAGGAAGTTTTGTGGAGTGGGGTTTTCTTCTCTGTAGCTTGAGATGACCAGTACCTGCCAGGCGCAATGCCCAATGGCGGTGATAATCATCACCTTTTTCACTCGATTATAGTCAGAAGGAGAGAGGGTGAGAACTGAGAGGCGCCATTAGAAGCCTTTTTCTTATTTCTCCGCAAACTATTTTCCTTTCTTTCCCATCCCTTCTTTGTGTCGTATGCTGTTAGTTTGCCTGATCACTTTTTTTGGTGTCATGTTATATTTGGATCCAAATATTTGGATTTAATGTGATTTGTTCAAATTGCATGATGTGATGTGAAGCAAATTCGGTTGTTCAGTTCGATGTATTTGTAATAATAATTGGGCAAGAGAAGCAAAAAAGAAAAACACGTGGAACCTACTTGTATGAATTGCATTTTCACTTGATGCCCACGTGTATTTGAGGCTATGACTTAATGAAAAAAATTAGCCAAGTGTCATTGTCATCCTACTAAAATAAATACCCACTTAAGAAAGGCAGAGGGAAATTACAATTAAATGCCTAATTTTTATCTTAGAAAACCAATTCACGAATAAGAGCGAGAACATGAAAACACAACCTTGAGATCGCAATTAAAATGCGATATTATATTAGTTATATTAATTGATTTTGGCGATTGAATATATAAACTGGACTATGTTGAAGGAACAAAATTATGAATTTCCAATTGAATGTTCAAAATTTTTTATAGTAGTTTAAGTGGTAGAATAGTTGTACACTTGTAATGGAATATAAAGCGTTTCTATTTGAGCTCCCGCATCAGCTGCATTTAAAAATTAATTTTTATAAATTGTTTTCAGCAGTTATTTCTGACAATTAGAGGAGGGTAATTTGGTCATATTGATGTGGCCAGAGTCCAGACCCATATAAGCCCTCCCATTGTGATTTCTCATCAAGGTCAGCCGCCCAACGTCTCTCTCTAGTTTCTTCTTCTTCTTCTTCCTTCTATTTTTCTACTTCTTGCTCTTTCTAATTAGATAAAATGGAAGCAAGAAAAGAACAGACAAAAAAGCTTTCTAATTCACTATATTTCCCACTGTCCGGAATCGGAAAAAACCTAGAAACCTCCCAAGTCCTTCTTCAACTTTGCCTTCAAAATTCTTCTTCTCCATTCACAGTTGGCAGTGTGAAACGAAGCACCTGAAGCCCGGCGTACTGATAGCCGCTCATTCCTCAACTGAGTGAATAGTTTGATAGTTTGTGAAATTTCATTTTGGGTCCGTTCTATCTATCTTGTTCATCTTTCGTTGTTTTTTGGTTAGGCAGAAAATTATAAGGTGGGCTTTAGATCTTGACAAATTGTTGGTTGGTGGGAAATTGGCTGCTTGCTGATTGTAAAAATTTCAGGCTTGATGTTTGAGAGATATTTTTCTTGATTGAGATCTGCATGCGTTTTAATTGGAATGGATGTGCTAGAGTTGTAGTTTGGATATGAGGGTTCACCGATAACTTGGATAGTTGCATGAATTAATGTGAAGCCCATCTAGACCTAATTGGGCCCTACAATAGCCATCTATGGGAGTCAGAATTTAGCTATGAACAACTGAACATCAAAACGCATAGCATCATTTATTTGGTGAATGTAAAATGACAACAAAGCCCATCCGTGAATCACTCTCAAGCCTCCATTTTCAAATCCCTGAAAATCCAACCCATGTTTTGCCATTATATATTTTGTAGATGGGAAACAGACACAATCCAATCACGATTAAGAAGGTTGTTGAGAATATATGGAATATTTCGTGGGGATCAATATGGACCAAATTCCTTATTTTATCCATCCTATTCTTTTTTTATTGAGAAAACCCAACCAAACAATATACAGAAAAGGTTATCGTATGAATACAGAATAATAAATTCAGTGTATGTTGATGAATTTTAAAACTCTAACATACCGTTTGGTATAAATTAATTCCATAAATTTTGAGAAATTTATTTTGAAATGAAACATTTTTGTGTTTGATATATAAGAGAATTCATTTGCAATTCTAAATTTTGAATTCTATGGAATTGGAACTAGTTATAGCAATTCTGAGGAATTGAGATGAAATTTTCCCAAATGAATTCCACAAGTATTTACTAATTATAATAGAATGACATAATTATCCTCTTTTATTAACTAAATTACTTATACTTATGGCATACCAAACACATGAATTCATTTAACAATGAATTCTACATGACAATTTATTTTATTTCTAACGATTTGAATATGACATACTAAACACAAGATTTCATTTGATAATGAATTCTACACGGTAAATCATTTTACAATGAAATAAGGGTGAATTGCAAGTTTGGTCACCCATATTACACTTTTGTAACACGTTAGCCACCCGAATCCATTTCGCTTCAATTCAGCCACTGATAATACACCTTTATGTCATCATTGGTCACTCGCCGTTACACACCGTCAACGCCGTTATACTTTTGCTGACGTGGCAAACGGGGTGCCAAGCTGGAACACGAAAAGCTGTTTTTTAGTCCAACTAATCGCTGACATGGCTTGGGCGGGAAAAAAAAGTGGGTTTCCCTCCCATTCTTCCATCTATATTAGGGTTAATTTCCCCAATCAAAGCCCCCTTCGACAGAACCTTCTTCTTCGAGCTTGAGAAATGGCCGGTCCCTGCTGTCATTGTGGAGATCCAGCCGATCTGAGAACGAGTTGGACAGATGCAAATCCGGGTAGGAGGTTTTACGGGTGCGCAAAGTTTGGAGTAAGACCAAGGCAAAATACACTTGCATAGCCAAAACTTTGACGTTTGTGACAATAATAACCATTTTTGGCGAAATACCAGATATAGCTAGAAATTTGAATGTTTGATGACAAATATAGCCATTTCCGTTACATTCTTTAACAGTGTTAATGACACCGTTAGTGGAATAAACGGAATGCTGACTTGGCTGCCTTCTCAGCCTCTCCGTCGCTTACACCTCATACTTCAGTGACATGTAGGACGACACGTCATTAAAAAAAAAAAAAAAAATTTCGGCAGCCTTAAAAAATCGGGGACGCGAGCCTCGTTCTCCTTCCTCTTTCTTTTTCACTTCCCCCATTGAATCTAGGGTTTCAGAACCCATCACCGCCGCCCCTCCTCTGCACGGCCGCCGCTGATTAAAGGAGGCCCGCCGCCTCCTCTGAACGGTTACCCCTTCGCCTCCGCTGTTCAACCCGACCTGACAATTTTTTGGTGAAATAGGGAGAGGTAGGCTGCTGATTCATCGGAATCGGAAGAAGGAGAAGCAGAAGAACCCGCGACGGCGACAGCAAGGAGGGCGAAGAGGAGGAGAGAGGGGAGGAACGGAGCCATTCGGTTGGTGGAGGTGGAGTCATCTAGAACGGGAGTGTGGATTGGGGAAGAAGCAAGCAGCAGCGAATCAGCAACAACGCCACCATTAAAGCTGTCCAAGGCCGAAATCGAAGACGAAGCAGGTGGTGGTGACGGCGAAGCAATGGATTGGGAAATGGTAAATTTGGGGATTCGGAAGAACCCTAGAAATTAGATTCAGAGCTACGCCCTCTCTCCCTCTACCTCTCTTTATTTCCTTTCAGCTCGTTCCCTGCGCTTTGCCTCTCTGTCTACCTATCTCTCTGCGCTCTCTCTCTCTCTCTCTCTCTGTGATATGATGGAATGGGAAAGCAAACAAAGGGTATTCGAGCAAAAGTTTCTTTGTTGTGGGGAAGGGAAGGAGAGGGAGAAAGGGTGGGAACAGAAAACAGAAATGAAATTCCCAAACTACCGCTCCCCCGACCCGACTCACCAAGCATCGCCGCCTCCGCCGACCCTCTATTAACCACCTGGAAGCATCGCCGCCGACTCGGAGGAAAGGGGTTTTGGGATGGGATCGATCGGGAAATGGGTTTTGGGTGGGAGGAAAATCTGGTATGAGGAGGAAAGGGGTTTTGTTTGTCGTTGCCGGGATCGATGGGGAAAGGGGCGCTCCTCGTCGGCGTACACCGCCGCCGTTCTGGACTTCGCCTCAGCTGTTCGTGGTCTTCGTCGGGGGGAGTAGGGTTCGAAGGGAAGAAGATGTCGACTGTGGAGGAAAGGAAAAATGAAAAGGAAGAGAGAGGGCGTGCGTGGCTGATCTGTTTTTTTTTTTTTAATTCCACGTGGAAAATACTTACCGGACGAAAATCGCCACATCGGATTATCCATTAATCCAGTCAGCACCGTAAGTCACGCCGTCAAAGAATTGGACGGAAATGGCTATATTTGGTATTTCGTCAAAAGTGGCTATATTTGGCAAAATCGTCAAAGTTTTGGCTATACAAGTGTATTTTGCCTAAGACCAACTCCCCGTCTTCTTCCTCTCTTCTTCTTCTTCTTCTTCTTCCTGTGCTTTTCTTTCTTCTGCTGCTCTGTTCAACCGTTGCTGCTCTATTCAATTGCTGGGTTCTCAAATTTCTTTTCCTTGTTTTGCGTTTGTACAGAGAACGGGAGCTTGCAACTACTTTAGATGGCATGACCCGGCTCTTGATGAGAACGTGAAGTATTTGATTCTCCACCTCCATCTTCGGCTGCGCGTAGGGGTGGGCATTAGGTTCGGTTTTACCGAACCGAATAAAAACCGACCGAATCCGAAATATTTGTAGTTAGGTTCGAAATTCGGCTGCAAATAGGGGAAACTTCGGAAATCAGGTTCGTTTGAACCGAACCAAAATTCCGAATAACCGACCGAATTCCGAATAGTTTAACCCACTGCCTGAATTTCTCAGCCCAATACTGGAGGCCCAGCCTTCTTAGTTCAGTCCACTCCGCCCTAGTCCAACAAATTGGATTGGGCTTCCTGGGCCCAGGGCGGCTAGGCCTGCTCGGCTGCTCCCCTTGGCAAGTCCACTCGACCCCAGCAGTACCCAAGTCCACTCGACGTCTCGACCCCAGCACACCGCCACCGTCGTCTACGAGCTAAACCTAGGCGCCGAATTGACGAAATCGCGACAAAGGGAAAGAGAAGTTGAATTGAACTGGCCGCCACTGGGGAACTGTCCGATTCCGAGTTCCGACGCTTGCAGCGACTGCCGACCCGACTGCGACTCCTCCTCCACTCCACTGCCCGAGCCCCGAGCACGACGACGTCAACTCGATCCTCAACCTCACTGCTCGCCCGCCTCGCCGCCAGCCGCCAGGCACCGTTCTCCAGCTCTCCGCCTCTCGCAATCCCACCCAG